TGAATGTTTTTAATCTGAGCAACCAAAGTACGTCTTGTCATTCAGTCAACTGTAGCTCATCCAATCTGTTTAAATGAATGTTTTTAATCTGAGCAACCAAAGTACGTCTTGTCATTCAGTCAACTGTAGCTCATCCAATCTGTTTAAATGAATGTTTTTAATCTGAGCAACCAAAGTACGTCTTGTCATTCAGTCAACTGTAGCTCATCCAATCTGTTTAAATGAATAACCAAAGTACGTCTTGTCATTCAGCTACCTAACTATCATGTGGTTATAGTTTTTTGATTGTTGTTTTATCTAACTCAATAACTAATTATTATGTGGTTATAGTTTTTTGATTACTGTTTTATCTCACTCAATAACAAATCATCATGTGGTTATAGTATTTTGATTATTGTTTTATCTCACTCAATAACTAACTATCATGTGGTTATAGTTTTTTTTTATTACTGTTTTATCTCACTCAATAACTAATTATTATGTGGTTATAGTTTTTCAGAGAAGTGCTTTAATGTCAGATAAAATTAGTATTTTCTTCCCAATTTGAGAATCACTGGATCGAATCCCGTTACGAAACATGCTCGGCACTTCAGTCGTGGCTACTTGTACCTGATGATGACAAAACCCTGTCGAAACGTTGTACATTTGCTGTTATGTTAAATTTATATTAAAGTTTTCTTCATTTCCTATTCAAGCCGTCTCCAAGCATTATTATATACCTTTGTTGTTATTATACCTTAAAACACGTCTTTTAATTATTTTTTGTCAAATACTGAAAGAATGTATTATGTCTTATACAGTCAAACATCCAATCAACGCATTTTGACTTTTTCATCTTTTTATCAAACATTGGTTCAACGCGTTTTAGCTGTGTATTTTTTTTCAACCAAAACAGTGAATCTGCAGTTTGGCTGTTGTTTTTTGAAAACAGCGAAACAATGCATGTTGCCTCTGACGATTTTTCATGCAGTGACACCGTCTTGCCGAAGGTTTGTTTATCTCTACAAGAAAGTGTGATCGAGGAACTGCCAGATCAATAAGCTCACACTTTTTTACTTAGAACCATCATTTCACAGAGAAAGTAATTAACTTTTTGATTTATATTATTACTCTAACTATCTGATCATTTAATGGGCTATCAAGAAATAAAATAACTGGAGAATTAGACAAAATTAACATTTTCCATTTGTGTAGTTCAAGAACATGTGAAGTTTCTACTTTACTTGTACAATTATTACGCAAAAACGGATCAGATCGATGGACACTGTAGAAGGTAATATATGTATTATATATATAACAAACCCAAACATATACATATTACAAATTACATTATAACACCGATGTCATGGTGTTATAATAACACGTAGTCCACGTTGTATATACTGAAACAAAGGGAAGATTATATGCATAGACAGATACTATTTACATAACTAAAATAATTATAAACACGAAAATGTGGACTTTAAGGTTCAAACCAAAATAGAAATATTTGAATGTTTTATTTCAAAGACGTAAAATATATTTTGGTTCAAGGTTATATTAACCAGTTATTTAATATATACACACAATGTGACGCTTTAACATCTTGTTTACTATACATACAAAATGACTCTTTAACTTCTTGTTTAGTATACATACAAAGTGACTCTTCAACATATTGTTTACTATACATACAAAGTGACTCTTTAACATATTGTTTAATATACATACAAAGTGACTCTTTAACATCTTGTTTACTATACATACAAAGTGACTCTTTAACTTCTTGTTTACTATACATACAAAGTGACTCTTTAACATCTTGTTTACTATACATAGAAAGTGACTCTTTAACTGCTTGTTTATTATACAATCAACGTGTTTGTTTAACTTGTTTACTATACACACAACGTGACTGTTAAACTGGTTGTTTACTATATAATGAACGTGATTGTTTAACTGCTTGTTTAATATACATTTAACATAATTGTTTAACTGGTTGTTGAGTATACACTCAATCTGTATTACTTTGACACTAGAAGTCAGAATTAAGTTTTCCCGAATGGTCTTTTTCAGTAATTACTTAAACGAGAACCAGACTATTAGACGCAGTGGTCCATAAACAGATTTAAAACATTCATTTAAACAGATTGGATGAGCTACAGTTGACTGAATGACAAGACGTACTTTGGTTATTAATTTAAACAGATTGGATGAGCTACAGTTGACTGAATGACAAGACGTACTTTGGTTATTCATTTAAACAGATTGGATGAGCTACAGTTGATTGAGTAAGATAAAACAATAATCAAAAACTATAACCACATGATAATTAGTTATTGAGTAAGATAAAACTATAACCACATGATAATTAGTTAGTGAATTAGATAAAACGGTAATCAAAAAACTATAACCACATGATAATTAGTTATTGAGTTAGATAAAACAGTAATCAAAAACTATAACCACATGATAATTAGTTATTGAGTAAGATAAAACAGTAATCAAAAACTATAACCACATGATAATTAGTTATT